AGAGAGAGAGACAGAGAGAGAGACAGAGAGAGAGAGAGAGAGAGAAAGAGAGAGAGAGAGAGAGAGAGGGGCTTGCCACTGAGCTACATCCTGGGACCCTATGCTTAAGAGTTCCCTGAACTCTCTCTCAGTGGCGAAAGGTGTTTGGGATATAAAAGCATTAGGAGAAGCTAGGCCCATTTCAAAGGCATTGTCTGGGGATGAGGTGGGCCTTGAAGGTTAACAGAGGTCTCTGCATGGTACTCATGGTACTCTTTGGGATAGGAGGCTGGTGAGTAGGATGTGTCCTGGCCACTGGTTCCTAGGAAGAGAATCATTGGCCAGTCCAGCTTGAAGAGATCCACCTGCCTCTGCCTTCCAAGTGCTGGGATTAAAGGTATGTGCCACCACTGCCCAGGTGACATTCCACATTCTTTTCCTTTCATGAGGGAGCAGCTCTGAAGGATTCTGTGTGGTGAGTGGAAGTCTGGATGCTCACAGGCCTCAGGTGTAGGGAGGACCCTGTTGTGTTAGGTAAACCTTTTCCATTTTCAGATGAAGAAATAGGCCATTGCCCAATCCAGAAGGTGACTTCAGATGGCTCACTGCTCCTAGCCCTCAAAACACCTCTCTGGCACTGGCTAATAGCCCCAGTGGCCAGAAGACTATACTGTGCAAGGACACCGTCAAGGACAGCTCCTAGGGAAGCCTGTGGAAGGTCAACTGCCATCTGCTACCCTGTTGAGCAGGATTTTCAGTGGTCAGGTAGAAGGGACAGGGTGCCAGTGATCCCGACTTGTGGAGAGGAAAGCATTCCCCCATATAAGACCCTACTGTCAGTGTGCACAGCCAGCTTCCTTCATGGGAGTCCAGTGGTGCGGGTGGGTGAGATGGCTCAGTGTGTACAGGTGCTTGCCGGGCTAAGTCTAAAGTCCTGAGTTCAGTTCTCAGAATACACATACAGGTGCGCCAGAAAGAATCAACTCTACAAAGTTGTCCTGACTGCCACACACACACACACACGCACGGGGCATGCATGCCCACACACATGCATCGTGCACACACACAAACAGTAATAAAATTTAAAAAATCTGGTGGTCCAAAGGTTCCCTATGTGTTCCAGGGAGACATTTATCAATATCCCAAGGGACATCGGTGTCCCTCCAGGTCCCTGTCAATGCCACGCTGTACTTCTTAGCATACAGGAAACACAGACAAGCAACCAGCTTAGCTGGTGGCACACACCTTCAATCTCAGCATTCGGGAGGCAGAGGCAGGCAGATCCTTGAGTTCAAGGCCAGCTAAAGCTACACATAGAGACCCTGTCTGAAACAAGAAAAGGAGCTGCTGAGCTGCTGAAGACAGTTGTCAGGAACACAACGCCAGGCCTGGGCCCTGCAACCAGGTTAGGTGCCAGACACTGGCAGCTTCTATTATTGAGTCCAAGCAGGAGAGGAAGAAGGACCTGCCCAGAGTTCCCAGAACACCTGGCTGTACCTCAGGAGAGCAGAAAACCAGCAGAGGCTCTGGGTTCTGAGTGTGGTGGGAAGCCACCGGAGGCCAGACTTTGGGGGTGGGGGATGACAGAAGACTGTGGCCCTGAGGTACTTTATGTCACAGTAAGGAAGGATATTTCTAGAAGACTCACTTTGCAAACAGACAGGTGGGGATCAAATGCTTGCCAGTGTGAACTCGGTTGGTGATGTCCCCAAGCTGGACATCCTTTCTGTGAAGCTGCTGCAAGGCCACTAAGCCCTCGGCTAAACCTGCCATAGATGCTCACGAAATGCCAGCCGCAATGTCAAGAGTGAGGATGCCCCGTGAGAGAGCTGCCTCACTGGAATCAGGCCACTCCAGGCCCACCATGTTCCCATGCCAGACACATACATGGCTGTGATGCCCACTGACATGACTGTGTGGGCTGGTCATATGGGGACAAGGGCCCTTCCTGCTACCCTGGCATGCCAGATAGCTCAGCTGGGGGCTCCATGGGCAGAGCGCACTCTTACCCAGGCTCAGGTGGCTTCCCAACAGGCCATCGTGGGGAGGAGACATACCTCAGTGAGGACTGATGAAGATTCTGGCTTTGACACATTGTGGCTGTTGAAGAAGATGGACTCACGATCTGAAAAAGCAGACAGGGAGCGAATTAGACCTGGAGACTGCAATGCCGACACCAGGGGGCAGCACCACCCCAGTCTCGCTCTAGGTGGCCTCTGACTCAGCAGCACAAGTAGCCCAGGGCTCTCTCTGGTGAGTTTGGCACCCGCAGCTGCATCACGGACGGATGTGCGCCAATCAGGACCCCAGTTTCAATCTGTCCTCCCATATAAAAATGATGGTTTCCTGGGATAACTTCATTGCCATCTTACAGCACCACATATATGCGGACCTCCTAAGGCTGGCAGGCCATATGCACTAAGGGTGGGAAGAGAACCGGCAACAGGAGTAGCACACTGTGCACCCAGATTTCAAAGGTCTGTCCTGAGGGAAGAAGCCTACCAAATGCCATTTGGTCCAGGTGCCCCCAGTCAGGTGCCCACTGGTATGTGCTCTTAAGGAATGTTCCCAACTACTTAATAGGAACCTGAACAAGGGCTTTCATAGGCTCACCCAGGAAAGCCTTACAATGTCCCAGTCTCCTCCACTCCACACATCCTGTTCCACAGCTGCTGCCACCCACCATCCCTCAGCCCCACTGGATGCTAGAGAGGCAGCTCAGTCCCAGGAATGTGAGGGTGCTTTCATTTATGCCCCCAGTACAAACGTCCTTGAGGTGGAAGGCACGATTTGCTCTGCAGAGATGTAAGGTTGGCTGGACAGTTTGCAATGTTCTCAAGCACTTGGAAGCATGGACACGCTAGAGCAAGAATCACAAAACCACAAACCTAGGGGTTGAGTTCTGGCCATTACCCCCTCGTAGCCCCACCCCCACCAAGAATAGCTCAGGGCCACTCTGGACTAGAAGCCCCCAAGGGATCCTGACAACCCCTGCTCAAGTTCTTGCGAAAGGGTGTCACGAACCCCAACCTGCAGGACACAGTGATCATCCCTGGGACCCAGGCCCCCAAGCATTAGGACAGAATGGGCACTGGCTGAGGGCCTGTGTGCCAGGGCTCAGGTGCCTGTTGTGGCTGCCATGACCCCCAGCAGCTTCACGACTCTATGGCGCCATAAAAATCATGCACAAGGAAGTGATTCAGGCAGAGCCAAGCAGGCAGGCGCTGAAGTACCTGGCATCCTTCCCGCTAGCGGGGCACAGAGGCCCCTGGCCACCCCGGTGTGCCCGACAGTCCTCCCGCTGCTCCGACCAGAGCCAGTCCAGACGGGGGGCATGAGAGATGGTCCTGGGGAGGAGCCTGGGAAAAATAAACACCCTGCGGGACTTGTGTCAAGCACGCCCACTGGTCCCTACTCTTGGGCACAGGTGAACCTTCAGGGGTGGCAAAGCCTGACAGGCCAGAGGCTAGACAAGGGCTTTGTCACGTAGCATGGCTTTCTGGCCTTCTGTAGGTACTGCCAACCTTCTCTTCCTAGAGCCCCCTGAACTTGGGGAACCTCCCACCCAAGTTTCTACAGGTCCCCAAGAGGAAAGGCCAGAATAGCAGAGCAGGCCTGTGGTGCAAGGACAGGCCACCAGCAGCAGGTAGATACAGCAATGATCAGGAAGGCAGGGAAACCTGTAGGAGCCTGCAAGAAGTACACACAGGCAGGCACTTGGCTGGTCTAGGAAGAGACAGAATGCCAGGGACTTACGATGCCCACTACACTGGACAGATTATGTCTGCCACAGCTTCATATGGACAGACCAAATACACAGATATCTTAAGGGGAAACTGCCCTCTACCCCGACTGCTATTGCTGTCCTAGAGCACTCTGGCCTAAGGACTGCTAAGCAAGAGATGTCCCGGGCTGAGGCACAGGCCCAGCACCTCACCATATGCAGAAGGAGGGAGTGAGCAGTTTCCAGACACTGCCTGTCATCAATAGACTGAGGGGAGCTGAGATGGGTGGGAGGGGCCTAGTCCCAGGCAAGGGAGCTGGTCCTGCTAACAGACCAGACAGGAGGGGCATGAACCTGGCTTCCTAACCTTAGCAGCAAGGATCCTTGCTCCCAGGAGCGCTGATAATTTGAGATCCCCAGCCAGAGACTGCTGCTGGACTAGTCCCCACCCCAAACACTCAGCATGGGGCCACCCCCAACTTCTGATCAGAGTGGGGGAGACGCAAGGGGATAGTCACCATGTGGTTTTTCTCTCAGAGAGGAAAAAAGTCTCAAAAGGAGGGTGAATGACCAGATTGGCTCAGACATCTCAGCCTCTGTGTTGAGTCTCCCATCTTTCCCTGAGGTGTACGCTACCATCCTGCCACTGAAAACCACCTCATCAGAGGCGCCAGTAGCTGCAGCTTACCTGCTTGGCCCTTATCACAGGGCTCTGTCACCCCCCCACCCCCCGCCCCAGAACCCTGGTGTCCCAGTACTTGCCTTTGCCCCCTGAAGCTGTCATCTACAATAAAACTGCCCTCCAGTTAAGTCTCCCCACTGAGTTATTCCTCACTAGAACACACATTGTTCATGAACCTGCCTGGCTGGCTCCTGGCGGGTCCTCTGGCTTACCACCCAGGGTGAGTCTGCAGCATGTTTAATAAAAGCAGCATTTATGACTTCAGGCGTCCTGGAGTCAGCCCAGGTTACCTGCATCTGCCATCTCCTTGGAGGGCATGGCCTCACCCTCTCAGATGCATATCGCTTTCGCCTTGCAATAGCATCAAATGTCTGGGACAACCCTGGAAATACTTAGTCACCCCTTCAAAGAAGCAAGAGGTACCACTCTTTTATGTACCCCTAGGACCAGGAGGGAGAGGGGTTGTAGAGCCCTTACACAAACCTAGGAGCCCAAGGCAACACGGCTTCAGGGTCAAGGTACAGGATGAAAGTGTACCAGAGAGAAGGAGCCGAGAGCCGGGAGAGTGTGCGTCACAGGCAGAGAACATGAGCACATTTATTGTATGTTCCTCAGTGGCTCTCTTAGTGAGAACTCCTTGGGTCCCAGCCCAGGCACCTGTAAGGTGCCATGGGTTATATAAGTTGCACAGCTGACTTTGGAAATTGGCATGTAAAAGACAGAAATGCACATGAGAATTTAAGAACAGGAGTTGTGGCGGAAGATGTTCTTGTCTCTATCTCATGTCCAGAACAACCCCAAGCCAGGAGACCTGACTCCCAAGGTGGACATGGGAAGCTGAGGGACCTGCCACACTATGTGGCATGGGCTGGAATGTTGAATTGGTCTTTGGAAAGAAGCCAGAGCCCCAAAGTCCTCTTCTCAACTAGTCAGGAGAAAGGGCTGCTGGAGCCTGAGGTCTTCTTGGTCAGGCAAAGAATATGCAGGCCAAGGCTGGAACCATGCCACTTCCCGATCAGACAGACACACTGAAAGTCACTCTGATCCCCAGTCCACCTCCGAATTTTATGCCTCAGGGAGCATCGTGGCCTAGAAACAGTCACGAGAGAAGACACTTTGACAGGTTCTTGCCTTCATCATTCCTGGCTCCCAGTGCCAAGGCGGAAACTGGCCTAGTGTTTTACAACCAGGAAGAAAGAGGAGGAAGCAGTGAACAAACACACTTTTGTGGGAGTAAGAAAGGAGATCGGATGCCAAGTTTCATTCAGAGATGAAATGATTTGGGTAAGAAAGGGAAAGGCGTGTCATAATCAAGGCATAACTGTGTGTGGAAGTGTATATGTTATATGTGTACGTGTGTGTGTGTATGCATGATGTGTGTGAGTGTGTGTAGGGGTACTGGGGATGGAGCCTGGACCCCCTTCATGCTTAGAAATACTCTGATAGGCAAGTAAATGCTTTGTAAAAACCTTGTCTCCTCCGTCCCACAGCCTGCAAGAGTAATAGGTGGTACTGGTGACAGTTTCAGGATGGTCTCAGCAAGGAAATGAAGCTGCAAAGTGCCTGCCCTCTACTGTGCTAATGGAAAGAGATCCACCAAGGGAAGAAGGCTCAGGGGACACAACAGGAAGAGATGCTGCAACAAGCCTGGAAGGGATGGCGACAAGCAGTCCCAGGAACAGGGCCTTCTAGGGGTCTTGAGGAAGGTTCTGCTTGCTCCGTCTGGAGCTGACTGAGGTTTCAAGGGTAGCTCTTTCCTTCCAGACAGAGACAAGCCTCACTGGGGAAGCCAGTGTCCAAGAAATCCTCAGGGAGAGCTATGCTGTTTCTAAAGGCATTGTCCTGACCCACAAACTTCCTGAAATTGCCTTAGAGGGGCCCTCAGGACCTCTAGAATATTCTTCTGAGAAGCTCCAGGGTCGGCACATCTTTAACTGAATGGCTCCAAACAGCGGTGCCAGGACGGCCGGAAGTGACAATGTGAAGGGCTCCTCCACAGAGTCCAGGGTGCTCTCCAGAGGGTCCCCTCCAAGGCCCTCAGGGACGAGTCATGCAAATGCCTCTACCGTGCACATCTAAGGGACACCAGGGGATGGTCACTGTAGCACAGCAGGAGTGATTATGCCCACTGGGACTTGCCTGAGGTCCCCCCCCCCCCCCCCCACGC